AACAACAACAGCAGCAACCACCACCACCACCAGAGAACAACGTATAATATGGTTAAATCACACTCAAATGCCTTTTCAGCTTTTTGGTATTTTGCCTGTTTCTTCCTTTTTTTCTTTTTTCCTTTTGTATTTTTAGGAAAGGGTCTACAGGGTATTTAGGGTCTCCCTACTAGATCGGACTCACAGTGATTCTCCTGTTTACAGCCTCCCAAGTGCTGGGATTACAGGTGCACATCATCATGCCCAGTCTTAACTGCTGTCTCAGCGCGCACCAGGTTGGGGTCGACACGGCAGGGGATCAAATCCCTGGGCTCTGTGTCTGCTTGCAGGTGCTTTAATCCGCTGTTTCTTCCTAAGTATGTCACGTTAATCCCCAAGCCTTCTAACGAAGCTTCTTCACAAGTGTAGGTACTAAATGTGGCACCCTGCTGCAGGATACGTAGAGTGTGGGCACCAGCTGGGTCTTCCTTGCCTGCTACGTAACCTTGAGCAGATCAATTAAATTTTATAAGGTCACCTTTCTTTATCAACAAATGCAGTACTACTATCTAAGGGTCAGATAAAGTGATAAATGTGAAAACAGTTTGAAATTTGCAAATAATAGCAACAAACTTACTTTATTTTTTAACTCCTCCTATGTGTCTAGTGCCATTTCCATCCTTGCACTACCCTACAAGGTAGGTATAGTCTCACTCTCATTTACATGACAGACTGGAGTAAGGAGGGCTCCATATCTTGTCCAAAATTCAAAAGGTCTAAGTGGGAAACCCATGATTTGAATCTTGGTAGCTGGGTTTCAATATTCCTGCTTTAAATTATGTAATCTCTGAATAGAACTGGGACAGCGTGACAATTTGCTGTTCTAAGCGCCTCTATGGAAAACATCTTTACTGAAAAGTAAGCTTAGCTGACAGTGCCTGAAAAATCAGTTCAACAGCCAAGTGCTTGCCCAGGATGGTGGCGCATGGCTATAACCCCAGGGCTGGGAGGCTGAGGCAGGAGAATCACCACGACTTCAAGCCCAACCTGGGCTACGCAGAGTCCAAGGCAAGCTGGGACTTGGAACTAAAGAGTGAGAACCTGTCTTAAAAAGTGAATAAAATGGTTAAAAAGCAACATCTGTCTACTATGAGATGGTGGTCGTTCTTACATGCATGTAGACAAGACAGTCATGAATACCAAGGTACTAAAGTACAAAATTAACCTTTTAGATTTAACAAAAAGAGAAGGCAGTAGCACTGTGGATAGCCAGGCAAAACATTAAAATAGGTCTGAAGTACTATGTGTTTTCTGATTAATTAAATTTCAAATTTTTCATGAGCCTCTAATTCGACAGTTAAGGACAATGGCGTGCCCATAGCCAGACAGACACTGTAACTAAGGTAAGACAAGAATTACATAAGCTGCTTGTACAGTGTTTCTTTCATCTCAACTCTTAAAATGTCACTGTAGCTCAGAAATATCAACCCCAATTTTGGTTAGCAATAAAATGAGGGGGCCAGAAAGTTTAGACAGAGAAGTTAATTTATGTTTTTAATCACCTACCCATACCTGCTACCTGCAGCAAACCTACTGGCTTCTTTTTCTTTCCATTTCTTTCCCTTGCTGGAATTCCTTCGCAAAGGCGCCCTAGAATGACAGCACATGGTCACAGACAGGAAGGCCCACCCTCGTCCTCTAGTCCTCCTCCTACAGGGGGCTTCTCCTAACATCACAGAATACTTACCCCAGATCCGCAAACTTCCGCTTAATTTTTCCTCCTTGCACCACCAATGAGCTGGAAGCCCTTAGTGACTTGGGACATTTGGCATCATCTAGGATATAGGTATGTATATGTAAGACAGACCAATTATTATTTTGTATGAATTAATTTTTATTAGTACATGTTTGCAGTCCGTATGTTTACATTCATCATGTGGGGTTGGTAGAATCCATGACACATCTTTTTTTTTTTTTCATGACATATCTTAATTCTCTTTACTTCCCTTTCCCCACTCTTCCATCTCTGGGTCCTCTATTATTTAAGTCATGAATCTAAGATCCATGTACCCAAGGGATTTGCCTAAATTCTTAAATGCAGAGGAAAATAGGGGCACTTTAAGAAGACAAATGAAGAGGAAAATAGGGGCACTTTAAGAAGACAGCCGTACCTAGAAACAGCTGCTTAAGCAGAGAGGTGCTGAGAGACAGAGGCCCAACACTATGGAAAGTGTTAGTTTGAAACACACCAAAGGAATGAGATGCGCAGTAACAAGCATTGCCCCATCAGCCTCCGCTTTCAAGCAGGGACGGAGACAGCTTCCCTCTGTCCCTTCTCTAGCCCCCATCTTGGCTCTGAATGCTGCGGCACTTCTCTCGCTTCCCTTCCTACTTTGGGGTTTTTGTGCCTTCTGAATAGACCCGGCCCACTTCTGCCTGAAGTCCTGAGTCTGGGAAACTCAGGAAGTAAAAGAGTCCAGGTTTTTCCTTCTTGCCTCTCCCTTGTTAACACCATAATGGCACGTGACCAATCCCGGACAAGGTGGGCAGAGGAGCAGGGGAAACTTCACAAGCAGATCGCTATAAACATTTATACTTGTAACAGGTCATCCTACTAACTAGCTGGGCTAGAGCACAGTCTGGCTGGCCTCCATGAAGCAGAAGATGCCCAAACCTCCTCGGTGCCTGGAGGTGCTTCTCTGAGTACTGCTGGCACTCTCAGGGGGCAGCTGCAGGGTGGGGACACTGGAAGCAACGCCAAAGCCCCGGAAGAAGAGGCTTTGTAAATGGACCTGACCCCACATGAGGGACAAATCCCGGGGCACACTGACTCCACCACTGACAAGGTGGGTCACTCCTAAGGCTCCGCCTGGGCAAAGAGAGTGCTAGCTATCTTGTGAGGATGATTAACAAGCGGTATTGTAAACTTGATGTGTTTTTTCTGGGTAAAACAATTCCTTTCTAATTGCTGATTTCTATCTGTATCTTTTTAACTAGAAACTGCATGGAATGAAGAAAGAGTTGTTCTCCTAAGACAGTGTTTATTTAACACTGCAAGCTGATTATGATTAAGACTTACTTCAGGAGAAGTTTCTGAACAGACCGACACACATCCTCTAAAAACGTGAAGTGCTCACCTAATTCTCATTTAGGAGCTTGGCTTTAAATCTCTAGAGCAGCATAGGATACTGACAAATCCTCCAAGGTCTTGTAGCAGTGAGCTTTTCATATTTTTAGTTAATGATACTCAGATTATAATTTCTTGAAATACACACAATGGAAATATAACAGTCGGAAATATATGTGTCAAAATCTACTCCTAGCCTCAAATATTATAATGGATATTTGTATCATTATTCTTTCAGTAACCAAATTGAATAGCCACAGATGTGACACATATACAAGAAAAAATTCACAGACAAGGCCACCTTCTACGATGACTTTGCTAAGGAACATTTTTTTTTTAAAGGCAGGATTTCTATTTTTCCTTATAGAAGCTGAAGAAAAGAAAATGCTGATGTTTTTCCAGATCAGCCTTAAACAACTCTTAACAGCCACAGCTATCCAAAGTTAAAATCTAACCATATACAGCATTGTAGTAGAACAGTCCTATGACATTTTTTTGGGTCTCATTTTCATTTATTACTTTAAAAAAAAACCAAGCATCTACTTGAGAGACAATATAGTAGTAACTGATAGTTAAAAGCAGGCTGCTGCGTTTGTTTCTGAATGAGGGAGGGGGAGCTGCTAGAGCAGGTGCGCGGAGCTGGCCGGGACCGCGCGCAGGGAACCCGGGCCTGCTCACACGAGAGAGCTCGAAGGCGGGGCCCGAGAGGCTGGGCGCTGCCGGCACAGAGCCCGCTGCCCGCCGGGCAGCTTGCGTCACTCACTGCCTCACACAATGGCCAGTGTGTCCCCAGAACACTGAAATGAGGGTTTCCACAGGCCAAGAGGTATAAGAAGTAAAGCCATGCTGTTATGTTGAGCTGTAGGGGACTCAACAATTTCTGACATTGCCAGTCAAGCAGAAGACCCAATACTATTATGGACTACTGGACTCTTTCAGAATATTTTGCTGAGTTAGCACATCTATAATATTCAAATAACGAACTTAACAAAAAAAAGGGGATACAGATGAATGTCCATTTTGTATCTGTGTATTCAAAGTGGTTAGGATAGATATATAGTTACGTTCTCTTAATGAATAGAGGGATTTGTTCTAATGGTGTTTGTAAATAGGATATCATGTCTGCATCTTGTACAGCAATTAACCACTAGGAAGAATGTATGCAATGTGTGAATTATTGAAACTGTCCTACCAATTTGGTTTGAAACTGTCTCACTGCTATTTGTTTCTCAATAAAATTATGAGAAAAAAACCCACAATAAAAAATAAATAAGTAAAAAAGAGGTGACGTTAAGGAATACATGTACTACCCTTTCCCATCTGAAGCCAGGAAAAATCCATCTCCAATGCACACTAGCACTTCTAGCCCTCATAATCACTTACACTGCACTGGCATGATTTCAGGAAAAAGGGACTATCACACTTTGAGTATCACATTTTGTGTATTTATTTAGCTTTATAAAAGTTGTGCCTTTCCCCTTCCCTTTGAGGTGCTGGGGATCAAAACATTAGGCTTTCAAAAAGGCCTCTGGCTGCCTGTGTCAGCTTTGGCTTTGGCAAGGTGAAGGTGGCTGCTCTCCAAGGTGGTATGTGCCCTCCTGACAGGGAAACCCTGAGGTCTTTCCTTGGACTGCGTTCTCCTTAGTCTCACTGCACTGAGAAACATCAGACACTTACAGCTGGGACCCTCCAATCCAGAGCCCTCCCTATCTTCTCTCCTGAGCTGGAGACCTCCAGAAGCATCATATGACAATGATGTGTGTGCACCTGTGTTTATAGCGGCACAGTTTATAATAGCGAAATCTTGGAAGCTACCCAAATGCCCATCAACCAAAGAATAGATATATTTTTTTATACAGTGGAATACATTCTGCCATAAAGAAGGACACATTTGACACATTTATTGCTAAATGGATGGACCCTGAGACTGTAATCTTAAGTGAAATAAACTGGACATATGTAAATATTGCACTGTCTCACTGCTATGAGAAACTAAAGGTATAAATAGGAACCAAATTGTACAAGAGATACAGTGAAATGGGAAGATGTTATTCAAAAGATAAAGGGGAACTAAGAATGGGGGGGTGGGGAAAAGGAAGGCAGGGAAAGATAAAATGAGAAAAGAAGGACAAAATGGAACCAATGCTTTGTAAATCAGGAGGGGAAAAGGAGTTAAGGGAAGGGAGGTGAATGGGAGGAAAGAAAAGATAAGCCAAGGTATATTATGTACAGGTACAAAATCCCTAGGATGAATGTAATCATTGTATATGCCTAAATTGTACCACTAAACTTAAACAAACGAGTAACTCGAGTTTTCCCCACGGTGTTGCAGTTTTCTGTTTTCTGTCAATGACAACCTGCACACTGAGGCGCAAAGCCCTGGGTGGATGCTGCGTCACTTCTGCCCAGTGCTCCGAGAGCTCTTCTGTGACTCTCGGCCACTGCTCCAGGCTCCTCCTCAAAGCTAACCACCCTGCAAGTCTCTTCTCCCAGCTTCCCCATACCTAAGTCTGTTCCTGTTTATTCCTCTGTTCAAAACTGGCTTTCCGTTTCCTATGCAGTATTAAGACAAGGTGCGAAGGATTTCACGCTAGAGCTGCAGATGAACCTGCCTGCTTGCTCCCAGCTTCAGCCAGCCGTGACTCAGCTATGCTGACCTGAGTGCACACACTTACTTCTGCAATTGAGGGCTTGCGGCAAGTTCGTTACTGTAAGACTGCTGTCATGATCTACAAGTGGGTTATTAATGAAAGCTTCTGGAGCTATGGATTCTTTCGAAGACAGGCCAGTGCCATTATCAAGCCACATCAACCTGCCGAGCACTCCTGACGGTTCACAGGCCTGGCAGCTTCTCTGGCCTCCCCTGGTATTCTGTACTCCCTAAGAGCCTCAGAAGGGCTTGGACCAGTCTGTGGACACGAACTGCAGCAGATGACAAGCTCGGGGGAAATGCCAAGGAGACGACAGTGAGCACAGCACTGCAGCTGACCGTGACTTAGGGACGAGAGCGACAGTGAGCACAGCACTGCAGCTGACCGTGACTTAGGGACGAGAG